TATTTTCACAGCTTTAAAAACGCGGTAGTTTGAGGTTCCGATATGGCTGCAAATAACATTGACAGTTTTCACGCTATGACAGTCATTTATGCATCATTTTAAAGCATTATGATTGCACTTTAATATGGTATATCATTTGTAGCATAATGTGTATTTGTACAAATTGGTCAATTGATAGATCGGTAGAATTATTGTTCTATGTTTAATAAACGCAGGTAATCTGAGGTTCCGATATGGTTGCAATTAACTTTGGCAGTTTTCGTGCTAGGACAGTCGTTTATGCACCATTTTTAAAGCATTAAAATTGCCATTTGTTTTGGTATATAATTTATTGCATAATGTATTTTTAAGAAAATGGCCAATTGGATAGATCGGTAGAATTATTTTCCCAGGTTTAAAAAGGCGGTAATTTGAGGTTCCGATATGGTTGTGAATAACTTTGACAGTTTTCATGCTATGACAGTCATTTATGCATCAGTTTAGAGCATTATGATTGCACTTTAATTTGGTATATCATTTGTGGCATAATGTGTTCGTCTAAAAAATGGTCAATTTGAATGGATCGGTAGAATTATTGTTCTATGTTTAAAAACCGCGGTAATTTGAGGTTCCGATATGGTTGCAAATAACTTTGACAGTTTTCATGCTAGGGCAATAGTTTATGCATCATTTTAAAGCATTACAGTTGCACTTTATTTTGGTGTATAATTTGTGGCATAATGAATTTTACAAAAGTTGGATAGATCGGTATATTTATTGGTACAGGTTAAAAATGCGGTAATTCAAGGCTCCGATATGGTTGCAAATAACTTTTATAGTTTTCATGTTATAACAGTCGTTTATATATCTTTTTATTGCATTTAGTTGCCATTTGTTTTGGTATATAATTTATTGCATAATTATTTTAGAAAATTGCCAACTGGATAGATCGGGTAGAATTATTTTCACAGGTTTAAAAAGGCGGTAATTTGAGGTTCCGATATGGTTTGCAAATAACATTGACAGTTTTCATGCTATGACAGTCATTTATGCATCATTTTAGAGCATTAGTTGCACTTTTTGTGTATAATTTGTGGCATAATGTTTTAAAAAATGGTCAATGGATAGATCGGTAATTATGGTACATGTTTAAAAATGCGGTAATTTAAGGCCGATATGGTTGCAAATAACTTTACAGTTTTCATGCTAGGCATTAGTTACATCTTTTAGCATTAGTTGCCATTTTTTGGGTATAATTTTTGCATAATGTATTTTTAAAAAATTGGATAGATCGGATATTATTTCCCAGGTTTAAAAAGCGGGGTAATTTGGGTTCCGTTATGGTTGTGAAACTTTTGACAGTTTTCATGCTATGACAGTCATTATATATCATTTTAGCATTATGATTGCATTTTTTGGTATATAATTTATTCCATAATGTGTTTTTAAAATGGTCAATTGATAGATCGGTAGAATTATTTTCATGTAAAAGCGGTAATTGAGGTTCCGATATGGTGCAATAACTTTGCAGTTTTCGTGCTAGGACAGTATTATGCACATCATTTTAAAGCATTATGATTGCATTTTTTGGTATATAATTGTAGCATAATGTATTTTAAAATGGCCAATTGATAGATCGGTAGAATTATTTTCAGGTTTAAAAATGCGGGGTAATTTGAGGTTCCGATATGGTTGCAAATAACTTTGACAGTTTTCATGCTAGGGCAATAGTTTATGCATCATTTTAAAGCATTACAGTTGCACTTTATATTGGTGTATAATTTGTGGCATAATGAATTTTACAAAGTTGGGATAGATCGGTATATTATTGGTACAGGTTTAAAAATGCGGTAATTCAAGGCTCCGATATGGTTGCAAATAACTTTTATAGTTTTCATGTTATAACAGTCGTTTATATATCTTTTTATTGCATTATAGTTGCCATTTATTTTGGTATATAATTATTGCATAATATATTTTTAGAAAATGGCCAATTGGATAGATCGGTAGAATTATTTTCACAGCTTTAAAAAGGCGGTAATTTGAGGTTCCGATATGGTTTGCAATAACATTGACAGTTTTCATGCTATGACAGTCATTTATGCTTCATTTAAAGCATTATGATTGCACTTTAATATGGTATATAATTTGTAGCATAATGTGTGTTTTTACTAATTTGTGAATTTGATAGATCGGTAGAATTATTGTTCTATGTTTAATAAACGCGGTGATCTGAGGTTCCGATATGGCTGCAATTACTTTGGCAGTTTTCGTGCTAGGACAGTCGTTTATGCACCATTTAAAGCATTAAAAATTGCCATTTGTTTTTGGTATATAATTTATTGCATAATGTATTTTTAGAAAATGGCCAATTGGATAGATCGGTAAGAATTATTTTCCAGGTTAAAAAGGGCGGTAATTTGAGGTTCCGATATGGTTGCAATAACATTGACAGTTTTCACATGCTATGACAGTCATTTATTGCATCATTTTTAAGCATTACAGTTGCCCACTTTGTTTTTGTGTATAATGTGTGGACATAATGGAATTTTTACAAAAATTAGGATAGATCGGTTTAATATTATTGGTAACAGGTTTAAAAGCGTGGTAATTTCAAGGCTTTCCGATATGGTTGCAATAACCTTTTATAGTTTTCATGTTATCAACAGTCGTTTATATATCTTTTTATTGCCTTATAAGTTGGCCAATTTGTTTTGGTATATAATTTATTGCAGAATATATTTTTAGAAAATTGCCAACTGGATAGATCGGGTTTAGAAGTATTTCACAGCTTTAAAAGGCGGTTAATTTGAGGTTCCGATATGGTTGCAAATAACATTGACAGTTTTCATGCTATGACAGTCATTTATGCATCATTTTAAAGCATTACAGTTGCACTTTGTTTTTGTGTATAATTTGTGGCATAATGAATTTTTACAAAAATTGGATAGATCGGTATATTTATTGGTACAGGTTTAAAAATGCGGTAATTTAAGGCCCCGATATGGTTGCAAATAACTTTTATAGTTTTCATGTTATAACAGTCGTTTATACATCTTTTTATTGCATTTTAGTTGCCATTTGTTTTGGTATATAATTTATTGCATAATGTATTTTTAGAAGATGGCCAATTGGATAGATCGATAGAATTATTTTCCCAGGTTTAAAAATGCGGTAATTTGAGGTTCCGATATGGTTGTGAATTACTTTGACAGTTTTCATGCTATGACAGTCATTTATGCATCAGTTTAGAGCATTATGTTGCACTTTAATTTGGTATATCATTTGTGGCATAATGTGTTTGTCTAAAAAATGGTCAATTTGATGGATCGGTAGAATTATTGTTCTATTTTTAAAAACGCGGTAATTTGAGGTTCCGATATGGTTTGCAAATAACTTTGACAGTTTTTATGCTAGGGCATTAGTTTACGCACCATTTTAAAGCATTACAGTTGCACTTTATTTTGGTGTATAATTGGTGGCATAATTTTATAGTTTTTCATGTTATAACAGTCGTTTATATATCTTTTTATTGCATTATAGTTGTCATTTGCTTTGGTATATAATTATTTCCATAATATATTTTTGGAAAATGGCCAATTGGATAGATCGGTAGAATTATTTTCACAGCTTTAAAAACGCGGTAGTTTGAGGTTCCGATATGGCTGCAAGATAACATTGACAGTTTTCACGGCTATGACAGTCATTTATGCATCATTTTAAAGCATTATGATTGCACTTTAATATGGTATATCATTTGTAGCATAATGTGTATTTTTACAAATTGGTCAATTTGATAGATCGGTAGAATTATTGTTCTATGTTTAATAAAAGCAGTAATCTGAGGTCCGATATTGTGCAATTATTTGGCGTTTTCGTGCTAGGACAGTCGTTTATGCACCTTTAAAGCATTAAAATGCCATTTGTTTTGGTATAAATTTATTGCATAATGTATTTTTAGAAAATGGCCAATTGGATAGATCGGTAGAATTATTTTCCCAGGTTTAAAAGGCGGTAATTTGAGGTTCCGATATGGTTGTGATAACTTGGACATTTCATGCTATGACAGTCATTTATGCATCATTTTAAGCATTATGAGCACTTAATTGGTATCATTGTGGCACAATGTGTTCGCTAAAAATGCAATTGAATCGTAGAATATTGTCATGTTTAAAAACGCGGTAATTTGAGGTCCGATATGGTTGCAATATTTGCAGTTTTCATGCGGGCAAGTTATGCATCATTTTAAAGCATTACAGTTGCACTTTTTGGTGTATAATTTGTGGCATAATGAATTTTACAAAAGTTGGATAGATCGGTATATTTATGGTACAGGTTAAAAGCGGTAATCAGGCTCCGATATGGTTGCAAATAACTTTAGTTTTCATGTTATGTCGTTTTATATCTTTATTGCATTATAGCCATGTTTGGTATATAATTTATGTTTTTTTTTACAATGAGTCGGTAGCATATTTTACAGCTTTAAGGGGTAATTGAGGTCCGATAGGGCAATAACCATTTTCCCCATTTGATTTGGGGTTAGATGGAGATGGGTAGATGGGTACTTACGCGGGAATTAGGAGGAAGGGTAAATAAGAAAGGCTTGGGATTTTTTTGTAAAACGTTATAATACTTATGTATTTATGTTTATTGAACTTTTGGGTAAGTATATAAGGTAAGTATATAGGGTAGGTATATAGGGTAAGTATTTTTAGGTTATAAATTCAGGTTTTATTTTAGTTGTAAGTATTTATGTATATGTTTTAGGGTAAGTATTTTATATAAATAACACTGTGATACACTGATCTGTGATAAATTTGTTTTTAATTAGTATTTAAGTTTTAGTATTTTACTTTTACTTAGGTTTAGGGTTTTTAATACTTGGTTTAAGTTTTACCACTAGTGTTTAGTTTTAATAAGTTAAGTTTATTATTTATTTATTTATTATTAACTTTAGAATTTGATTCGTAGGGTTTGTTGTTTTGTTTGTTGTAGGGTTTGTTGTTTGTTTGTTTGTTCGTTTAGCGCACACACTTTTTGTTCTTCTCACAGGTGGATTAGAATAGAAGTAAGTTAAAGCTGAAGGCCAAAGCTGCAGCTGACGTTCATATGTAGATGAAGTTGGCTGCAGTTATGTGTGGGTATTAAATGACGTCAGGGATGGACAGTGTTATGTGTTCACTGATGTGAACATCCTCCCGGGCCTGGCAACCTGTGAAGAGAAAAGGACAATTATTTTTATTTATTCAATAAAAATGGTGTAGGGTAATAGGGTAAATTATGCATGTAAAATACTTCATTGTGTGCGGGTTTATTGGGTAGATGATCCCATGACCAGCCAGCCAAGGGTGGAATCCTGGGCTATAAGTGATCCCCCGTCAATGTGAATCACATTCGGTTGTAGGATGCTTGTGTAAAGGTCTCCACCAATTTCCATGGAGACTGGGTTGTTGGAGTAAAACTCCGGGTCAGCCAGCGATATGCGACACAATTTACTTTTAATTGTTTCGTCCATGGGGCTTGGATATGGGGTTTTTGGCAGATCCTTAACCACCTCCATGCAAACCTCGTATCGGAGGCTTGAGGAATAATTTGGTGCAATTAACACCTTCACAAACACCTCTTTGTCGATTTTGAAGGGAGCTAGGGAACTTTCACTAACAAAGACGGCTGCTATTCTAGACTTAGTCAAGCTAGGATTTAGTATTGCCCTTGCCCGCCGACTTCCTACCTGCACAACTGCTGTAGGAACAAACGTTTTCATCATCGACGTTGTTACCGGTGTTGTAACTTTCACGATGTCTAATGATCGTCTTGGAGCTGGTGTGGGTGGAGTTCTTGGTGCCGGAGTTGGTGGAGGGGATTGGTCCTGGGTCAAATTCTTTAAAATCCTATTTGGACCATGTAGGGTGGAGTGGTGTTTACCACCACATTGTTGGCAACGAGCCTTACTCGTGCAACCGCCAATGAGATGGTTCCTCGCCAAACAATTGACGCAGTAGTGCAATTTAACTGCGGTTTTGTATTTCTCCGCCAAGTTCATCTTTTGGAACTTTCGACAGTTTGTTAAGCTGTGATCGGCTTGACAAATACCGCAACCAAAATGGCGTTTTGGTTGACGTTTATCGTTTTTGCGGTTGGGTTTGGGCCGAGATCCATTGCGGCTGGAACGGTTGGAACGTCCTTTACGATTGTTGTTGTTATTGGGTGCCATATTCTGTATAAAAGAAATTATGTGTGAATGAATGAAGTGTAATGAATGTGTTAGTGGGTTAGGGTGAAGAGTTAAACGATTCATAATAAATTTGGGTTAGTTAGGGTGGTTAGTTGAGCTAGTTAGTGATGATATTGTTATTTTGGGTTAGGGTTTGAGTAAAAGTATTAGACTAATTAGCGGGTAAAACAACAATTTTAGTAATTGGTCGGGTTAGAGTTCCAGTTGAAGTTTGTAAGTCAACTACTCTATTTCTACCATCAGAACCAGGGTGTGTTTTGGTCACACGTCCAAGTAACCATTCATTGGGTGCTAAATTGTCTTGTCTAATTACTACAATATCACCTATTTCAACTTCTCGGGTAGGGTTTTTCCACTTATATCTTTTATGGAGCTCTTTAAGATATTCATCTTTCCATCTTTTACAAAAGTTGTGATGTTGTATCCTTAATTTTTGCCATCTGTTTGCCAGGGTTATATTATCACTGCTTGTGTCGGGTTCTGCAGGGGTAAGTATGGGTGAGCCAATTAAAAAGTGTCCAGGGGTTAACGGGTTAAGATCCTGAGGGTTTTCACTTGACGGGCTTAAGGGTCTCGAGTTTAGACATCCTTCTATTCTGGCAAGGAGTGTAGCTAGCTCTTCAAATGTATATTTTAGGGTATTTATTTTCTTCAAATGAGCTTTAAAGCTTTTAACTCCTGCCTCCCATAAACCGCCCATGTGTGGTGCACCTGGGGGTATAAAATGCCACGTCAAATTCTGAAAACTGTTGGTAGATATAACGGAACCTTTCAATTGCCTGATGAATTCCTGTCGCTCTTTCTTCAATAGCTTACTAGCTCCAATGAAATTTGTCCCATTGTCCGAGTAAATGGCGACAGGGCATCCCCGCCTCGAAAAAAATCGAGCGAAGGCTGCCATAAAGGCTTGGGTAGACAAATCAGATGTTGGCTCCAAGTGGATGGCTTTTGTTGCTAAAGCAAACAAAAACACAAACGTAACCTTTCGTTATTTTACAAGTTCTGCCACTATATGCTTTGACGTCAAATGGTCCTGCAAAATCAACTCCAACATTTGTAAAAGCTTTATCAATTTGGGTTCTTTCTGGTGGCAACGCCGCCATAAATTGGGTTGTTTGTCTATTCCTATATCTTATGCAGGGTGAGCATTTGTTAACAACATTACTTATCAGATTCTTAAGTTTCGGAATCCAATATCCTGATCGGATTATTCTCAACATAAGTTGATTTCCACCATGCAGGGTTACCAGGTGGACGTGTTGTACTAGTAATTTAGCAAATGCACTTTTATAGGGTATTAATATTGGGTGTCTTTCGGAATAGGACAAACTGTTGGAATTTGCTAGTCTACCATTTGCACGCATTATCATTGCAGAATCTAAAAATGGAGTTAGGGTAAGCAGGTCACTTTTGTTGGGTATAGGGTATTTTCTCTTCAAACAGTTATATTCGTTGTTGAAATATTCTGTCTGACAAAGAATAATAAGTCTATCACGGGTAGATTTGATCTCTGACGCATCAAGCTCAATACTTGGGTGGGTAGTTAATAAACGTAGTCTATCATTGACTAGTTGTGGGTTATTTCGATCAAGAATAACTCTATCATTTCGAATTGTATTTCTTCGGGTATATGATGCGCGATCACAAAATCGATAGACATATGTCATTACTCTTAGAGCTTTTGACAATTTCGAAAATCTTGATAATATATCTGGGTTTTCAGTATTCGTATCTAAGGTAGGGTGGGTATTAACTGTCGTAGTAAACGACTGACTAACTTTAGCTTCAGCTTGAGTAATAAAGTGTTTATCTGTTGTTGGCCACTTCGACGCGACTTCTTTCAACCACGATGGTCCATTCCACCATAAAGTGTCATCTTTTAACTCATCAGCATTACATCCTCGGCTAGCAACATCGGCAGGATTATCGTGTGAAGCAACATGATTCCAGTTATCTACTCCTACTGTTTGTAGAATTGTTGAAACTCTGTTTGCCACAAATGTATTCCACGAGTTAGGGTGTTTACTAAGCCAGGCCAAAACTATAGATGAGTCGGTCCAGAAATACGTCTGATGTAAGGGTAGGTTGAGTTGGGTGAGTACATTGTGTGTCATATTTGCCAACAACACTGCACCACAAAGTTCAAGTTTTGGTAACGAGATTACTTTGATTGGCGCAACTCTCGTCTTAGCGAAGAGTAGGGTTACGGAATTAGGTCCGTCTATGGGTGTTACTCGTGCATATAGACATGCAGAGTATGCCTTTTCAGAAGCATCTGAAAAACCATGAAACTCAATTTTTGCTGAAGGTGAAAAGTTAATCCATCTTGGAATACGAATTCTATTAATATTATCGTAGAACTGCAAAAACTTTTGCCATTTTATAAGGGTGAGTGGGTTAAGACATTCATCCCAAGCTGTATTATCTTGCCAAATTTGCTGCATAATAATCTTGGCAGATATAACAATTGGCGCTAACCAACCAGCTGGGTCAAAAAGACGAGCAATGTCTGATAACACAGTTCGCTTTGTGTATGCTGATTTTCTTTCAATTAAGGGTACATTAAAGAAAAACGTATCTTCCTTAGCGTTCCAACGAATGCCTAACGTTTTAGCATTATTTGATTCGGGTAGGGTGAGTAAATCAACATCTAGTAGATGTTCTTCGGGTAAATTGTGTAATAATTCCTTTGTATTGGAAATCCATTTTCTCAAAGGAAAACCAGCAGAGTCTAGAGCCGCGATCAATTGGGTTTGAGCTTTTTGAGCTTCTTCAATTGTGTGACCTCCGGCTAAGACATCATCAACATACATGTTGTTTCGCAAAATTTGCGAAGCTATAGGGTGGGTATTTTGAATGTCGTCGGCTAATTTGTGTAGGGTTCTAATAGCCAAATATGGTGCACAGTTAACACCAAATGTAACTGTTTGCAGTTCATAATCTTGAATGGGTTCGTTGACGCTTTTACGGAATAATATCCGTTGGAAGGGTGTGTGGGTAGGGTTTAGCATAATTTGCCGGTACATTTTTGTAATGTCGGCATTATAAACTATCTTGTAAAAGCGCCATTTCAAGATAAGTACAACTAAATCTTGTTGTAGGGTAGGACCAGTGTGTAGGGTATCATTAAGACTGTTGCCGTTCGAGGTTTTGCTAGATGCATTAAATACAACTCGAACTTTTGTCGTAACACGATCAAGTTTAACAACAGCGTGATGGGGTAAATAATAATGGGTGTTTGAAGGAATGTTTGGGTTATATTTAATTGGTTTCATATGACCTAAATCGATATACTCTTGTAGGACGTTATCATATTCCATTTTAAGCTCTGGCTTTTTCATTAAACTTTTCTCGTTACGTAGAAATTGAGCCATAGCAACGTGTCTAGAGTTTCCTAACTCAACAGGAGGGTATATAAATGGTAAATTTACCTGATAACGGCCATTTGGCAATCGAAGGGTAGTGGTCTTGAAAGTTTCTTCACATAAAGAACTTTCTTCTGAAACTTTGGGTTGGGTGGGTACATCTTCAATTTCCCAGAACTTGGTCAAAACTTTATCAAGCGTTACTGAACTGAAGTAAGAAACTAAGGGTTGGGTATTTTGCGAATTCTGAACGGGTCCTGTTAAAATCCAGCCAAACTCAGTCTCCTGAGCTATAAGGGTATTGAGTAAGTCTTTTCTGACTCCAGATTTTAAAATCTGTGGGTAAAAATCGCTGCCAATAATAAAGTCTATAGGTCGACTTTCGTAGAATTTTTGGTCAGCCAATTGAATATTTTCCAAGTCTTGTATTAGGGTGGGGTTTAAATTTTGGGTGGGTAAGTTTTTGGTTAATGTTTTAACAACAATTGCTTGGATATTCAATTTAAATTCATTTTGTGTGTTAGAGCGCAATAAAACTTGACATAATTTATTCGAACGAGCTGAAACTATTTCATTCAATCCTGATATTTCAGCAACTATGGGTGTAGTGGGTAATTTTAACTTCCTTCTCAGTTTATCTGTGATAAACGAGAAGTCTGAAGCTGGGTCAATAAGCGCTCTAGCTGGAAATAGTTCTCCTTGAACATCAACGTTCAGAACTGCAGTTCCTAATAACTTCGTTCTGTCATCTATGGGTATTGGTTTGCTTGATTGGGTGTGGGTTGAGAAAGACTGTACTGCATTGTGTGATGTTGACGCCTGAGTATTTTCAACTTGTGGGTTAGGGTTAGAGTTCGGCTTGTGTAAAAGCGAATTATGTTTACCGCCGCAATATCTACACTTAAATGCGCTATAACAATCTTTTATGACATGTCCAGTAGCTAAACAATTGTAACAAATTCCATTCTCATTTACAAATTCAATTCTTTGGTTTAATCCTAAAGAATTAAATGAAGAACATTCTCTTAGGGTGTGATTCTTTTCACAAAGTTTGCAAATGGACCCATAGAGTTTAGTTTGGGTGTTTTGGGTATTTGGTTTCTTTTGGGTATTTTGGGCATTTGCATTCTTTTGGGTATTTGAATTGGGTATATGGTTTGGGTTAGAGAATTTTTGTTCATTTTGAGGTTTGGGGTTTGGGTGGGGTTTCTTTGAAGAATGGGTTACATTGTGAAACGCTTTGGCTCTCCTGTCAGGGTTATATTTTGTTTCAGTAAATTGTTTGGTTTTAGGGTGGGTATTAGGATTCGAATCTGGAACATCGTTTACTGATGTAAGTTCTTTAAAAGTGTTCGTTAAGAACACATCAAGATTCGTCCAAGGCGGCATTTCAGCGCTATCATTGAGAGTTTTTTCAAACTCTCTTCGGGTTTCTTTGGGTAATTTTGATAAGCAAAGATATACAAAGATAGGATCCCAATTATCCGTATCAATTTCTAATGAATTTAAATTAGCAATACAACAATTAATCTTTCTCTGAAGCTTTCTTATAGAAGCACTGCACATGGTGCTTACTGTGGGTAAATTAAAAAGTGTTTTCAATTGCGCATTGATTTGCATTCGTCTATTTTCAAATTGAGAGACGAGTTGGGTCCACGCAATGAGAAAGCCATCATTAGTTAGGGGTGCGTTGTCAACGATTTCTTTGGCTTCGCCGCTCGTTTTTTGCTTAAGATAGAAGAGTTTTTCAACTCCACTTAAGCGTGTGTTGTTACCATAAATGGCCTTAAAAAGATCCCGGAAAGAAGCCCAAGATTTAAAATCTCCATGAAATGTAGGCATATCGCATGGGGGTACATTGAAGGCTACAGAACTGCTGGGTTGTGGGGGTTCGGGTAATGATGGTCGGGTTTCGTTTGCCTTCGTGATCTCCTCAATCGATTCGTCGATCGAGATCATGCTTGACCTATAAAAACCTTTAGCAGATCTAACTTGTCTAACGACTTCACTTAAATTTATGGCTTCAGCCTTCTTAGGGTCAAGAATATCGGCGGATTCTCTAACTTGGGTGAATTTACGGTCAATTTTAGCCCATAATTCACTTAATTCCCGTTTTTGGAATTTAAGAGCGGGTAGAGATTGGAAATTTCCGGGGTAGCGCGATAATCTTCATCAAACGATTTAAATCTGTTTGGATGTATCTTAATAAATCGGCGACAACAGATTCTAAAGTAGACATATTGGGTAATTTATTTAAAAATCTACAAAAAATTTGTAACAGCAAACTTAAATTTCCGACAGGGTATTTTATGTGTGTATGGGTTCGCTACACAATTCGGGTGGTAATATTAGCTTAATCAAGCAATATATAAAAATATTTCCAAAAAAGTTTTTAATAGGGTGGGTGGGTGAGTGGGTTTTTGAATAGAAAATATTTTTATATTATATTGCTTGACAAATAAAACTAATATAATACAAAAAAAATGGAAATTTAAATATTATTAGTAAGTTGTAAAAAATACACTTACCTTGTTTGCTGGGGGTAGGGTACAAACCTTCACAAGAGATAAACCAAAAAAAAATCTCTTGTGTTGTCGATTCTTCTTTACACCTTCTTCCCGCTATGATGTGTGTTGATCTTGTGTGTAGTGTTGCTGTTGTAATATGTAAGCTGGGTCTGGTATGTATGTTTAAGCGTGTGTATATGTTTTGTGTGTGTTTTATTTCTTGTTTATTTTTGCGTATTAATGTTTTTTTTTTTAATATTTTCAAAAATATGTACAGTGTGTGTTTTTCTTTTGTAAGTTTTGTATTATTTTCAATATGTGTAGTTGTTATTTATTTTTGTTTTAATGAATTTGCGTGTATATTTTTTTAAATTTTTGTTAATTTGTTAAATAATTATGTATTAATAATTTATGTTTTTGTAGTTTTTATATGTTTATTTATTTATTTTTTTTTTAAACAAATAGGTATTGGGGTATGTGGGTAATTTTTTTTCTTTTAGATTAATATTTTGTGTTTCACTGTATTTTTTTTTTTTTTTTGATGTATGTTCTTGTTAAAAATATTTGTTTTTATTTGTAATGTATTTTTTCTTTTCACTGTTTTTATGTTGTGAATTTTGATTTGTTGTGTTTTCTGTTTATTTTAAATTTGTTTCAGTTTTATTTGTTGAAAATTTTTGTTGTCTTTTGTAACAAATATTTTGTTTTTTACTTTGTGCACTTTGTTGTTTATTTTACACAATTTATTTGTTTTAAGCTTTTTGTCTGTTTTTTGTTACAATTTGTACACTTTTTTATTTTGTTTTTTTTTTACAATTGTAATTTTTTACACAATTTTATTTTTAATTTAGTTTATATTATTATGTTTTAGTTTGTAGGGTATTTTTAATTGTTTATTCTCTTTTTTTTTTTTTTTAATTTTTAGTTTTATTTTTAAGGGTGGGTTTTTTATTTTTTTTTTTACATACACTTGCTTTTGCTTACTTTCAACACTTTTCACTTTCTTCACACACTTTTTTATTTTTAAGCTTACTTTTATTTTCAGCTTTCTTTTTGTGGACTGTATTTTTTATCAATATAGCCGTTTCTTTTTTAAAGGCTCGATTGGACCATGTTTATTTAGGGGTTAGAGGGAGATGGGTAGATGGGTACTTACGCGGGAATTAGGAGGAAGGGTAAATAAGAAAGGCTTGGGATTTTTTTGTAAAACGTTATAATACTTATGTATTTATTGAACTTTTGGGTAAGTATATGAAGGTAAGTATATAGGGTAGGTATATAGGGTAAGTATTTTTAGGTTATAAATTCAGATTTTATTTTAGTTGTAAGTATTTATGTATATGTTTTAGGGTAAGTATTTTATATAAATAACACTGTGATACACTGATCTGTGATAAATTTGTTTTTAATTAGTATTTAAGTTTTAGTATTTTACTTTTACTTAGGTTTAGGGTTTTTAATACTTCGTTTAAGTTTTACCACTAGTGTTTAGTTTAATAAGTTAAGTTTATTATTTATTTATTTATTTATTTAACTTTAGAATTTGATTCGTAGGGTTGTTGTTGTTTGTTTGTAGGGTTTTGTTGTTTTGTTTGTTTGTTCTTTGTAGCGCACACACTTTTTGTTCTTCTCACAGGTGGATTAGAATAGAAGTAAGTTAAAGCTGAAGGCCAAAGCTGCAGCTGACGTTCATATGTAGATGAAGTTGGCTGCAGTTATGTGTGGGTATTAAATGACGTCAGGATGGACAGTGTTATGTGTTCACTGATGTGAACAACAGTCGTTTATATATCTTTTTATTGCATTATAGTTGCCATTTGCTTTGGTATATAACTTATTCCATAATGTATTTTTGGAAAATGGCCAATTGGATAGATCGGTAGAATTATTTTCACAGCTTTAAAAACGCGGGTAGTTTGAGGTTCCGATATGGCTGCAAATAACATTGACAGTTTTCACGCTATGACAGTCATTTATGCATCATTTTTAAGCATTATGATTGCACTTTAATATCGTATATCATTTGTAGCCATAATGTGTATTTTTAAAAATTGGTCAATTTGATAGATCGTAGAATTATTGTTCTATGTTTAATAAACGCGGTAATCTGAGGTTCCGATATGGCTGCAATTAACTTTGGCAGTTTTTCGTGCTAGGACAGTCGTTTATGCACCATTTTAAAGCATTAAAATTGCCATTTGTTGGTATATAATTTATTGCATAATGTATTTTTGAGAAAACGGCCAATTGGATAATCGGTAGAATTATTTTCCCAGGTTTTAAAACGCGGTAATTTGAGGTTCCGATATGGTTGTGAATAACTTTGACAGTTTTCATGGCTATGACAGTCATTTATGCATCATTTTAAAGCATTACAGTTGCACTTTGTTTTTGTGTATAATTTGTGGCATAATGAATTTTTACAAAAATTGGATAGATCGGTATAGTTATTGGTACAGGTTTAAAAATGCGGTAATTTAAGGCCCCGATATGGTTGCAAATAACTTTTATAGTTTTCATGTTATAACAGTCGTTTATACATCTTTTTATTGCATTTTAGTTGCCATTTGTTTTGGTATATAATTTATTGCATAATGTATTTTTAGAAGATGGCCAATTGGATAGATCGATAGAATTATTTTCCCAGGTTTAAAAAGGCGGTAATTTGAGGTTCCGATATGGTTGTGAATTACTTTGACAGTTTTCATGCTAGACAGTCATTTATGCATCAGTTTAGGCATTATGATTGCACTTTAATTTGGTATATCATTTGTGGCATAATGAATTTTTACAAAATTGGATAGATCGGTATTTATTGGTACAGATTGAAAAATGCGGTAATTTAAGGCTCCGATATGGTTGCAAATAACTTTTATAGTTTGCATGTTATAACAGTCGTTTATATATCTTTTTATTGCATTACAGTTGCCATTTGATTTGGTATATAATTTATTCCATAATATATTTTTGGAAAATGGACAATTGGATAGATCGGTAGAATCATTTTAAAGCATTATGATTGCACTTTAATATGGTAATAATTTGTAGCATAATGTGTGTTTTTACAAATTGGTCAAT